ATCCTCAAGTGGTCTATATGATCCTCCATGGAGTTACTATATACCACGATATCGTCCAAGTACACCACCATGAACTGGTCCAAGTACGGTTGGAAGAACTTGTTAATAAGCGTGCAAAACGTCATCGGTGCATTGGTTAGACCAAAGGGCATGACCAACAACTCATACGATCCGTATCGGGTGATGCATGCGGTCTTTGGCTCGTCGCCTTCTGCAATTCGAACTTGGTAGTAGCCTTCTGTATATGGTCCCTTTCTTGATGCCTCTACCAAGTTGTATGGCCGAGAGTTGTTTGGCATCTCGACCTTGCTCTTTCGGTGCCTCGACCGTGGGGATCATGCAAAGAGACCCTTTCTCCAAGATGCAAACTGAACTAAATGAAGGCATAGGGATAGCGGTTACCTGTCGGAGAAAGTCTAACCCCAAAACGACCTTGAAGTCATCCATAGGAACGACTGAAAATTTCACTTGGCCCTTCCACGTGCCTAAGCGTAGCTCGACCCCTCGTGCCACGCCATGGAGTGGTACCGCTTGTATATTTACCGTCTTGAGCCATCTTGTGCTCCCAGTGTACTTTAGGCCCAAACGGTTGGCTTCGTCTTTAGACACGAAATTGTGAGTAGCTCCCGTATCCACCATAGCTCTTGTCAGCTTCTCGTTGATCACCGCTTCCACATACATGGGCCCATTACTCGGTGTCGGTGTCAACGACTTGGCCTTCAAGGCGTTTAGAACTTGGAGCGACCCCATCTCGGCTTGAGACTCTGTGTCTTGACGATCGATGATGGCGGACAATGAACCAAGTTTGGGACAACTACTCATCGGATTCGACCCTTTACACAAGAAGCATCCTCCTTTAGGAACGAAGGCCTTTTTCTTCTCTTCGTAGTCCCTTCGGCCCGGACGTCGATCTCGATCTCCCTCTTTAGCTTGTGGCCTTCGGTGATCTCGATCTCGATTGCCTTGGTTGTTCTCCCGCCGTTCTCCCCCACCTTTGGCTGGATACTTATCCTTATTTTTCGTTGCATTGGTGTGGGAGTAGGGTTGGAAGTTAACGAGTGACTCAACGATGGCAATGGCCTCATCAACCGTTCTAACGTCCCGACGGTGCATCTCTTGCTTCGCCCATCCTTGTAGTTCGTCAATGAAATAGAACAAGAGATAGTCTTCGGACATATTGGGGATTTGAAGCATAAGAGTTGTGAATTCTTTTACATAGTCTCGCATAATACCACGTTGCTTCAACTCCCGCAATTTCTTACGAGCCTCGTATACCATATTCTCGGGATAGAAGTGCTTCTTGAGTTCTTTCTTGAACTCATCCCACGTATCTAACCGACAAGCCCCTCGCTCTATGTCGGCATGTTTCCTTCGCCACCATAACATAGCAGTATCTGAAAGATATAAGGCAGCGGTCTTTACCTTGGTGGCCTCGTCGTTAAGGCTGATTCCCTCGAAGTATTATTCCATCCGCCATAGGTAGTTTTTGACTTCCTTGGCGTCCCTTGCCCCGTTGAACCCTTGCGGCTTGGGGCACTCGACCCTCGGGGTGGAGACGGTGATGTTAGCACCCCTGCTAACGGCAGCCCTCTTGCAGAGCGTCACGTCCTCCCGCATCCCCTCGATGTTTTCACGTAAGGCATGGATCATATCCTCTAGCCGTACGAACCGAGCTTCCACCTCGTTTCTGGTCTCTTCGACACTCCCCTTAAGTGCATCAACTTGCTCCAATACATGGTCTTCCAACGTCTTGAAGTCGTACTGGACCCTCTCCAGCCTTTCGCCGAACTCCGCCACCATTAGTTCTAAGGAATTTCCTTCACAGGCCTTACTTTGGTCCCTCTTCTTTTTCAGGTTGGTGGGTGCAGCTTCTCTCCCACGTTCCTCAGTAACAGTTGACTCATTCGGGTTCCCGACCATTCATACAAGATACGTGCACGATATTGATGCCTTAATCGGCTCTGATACCAACTGTCACAGACTTAATCTCTCAATAAGCCTCGTGCGGCCTTAGCTCCTTTTCGCCCATCGCAATAACTAAGTCAGCCTCACTCAAACTCGTGCTAGTGTGGGAAAGGATTGGTAAGGAAACAAAAAAAGAAAGAAAAGAACTTTGAAAGAAAGATTGTTGATATGCTTGAAAGCTTACAACTCTTGGATGATTTACAAATGAGGATTCTACACCTATTTATAGCATCCCACCTCCTCAATGGACGGTGGAGATTGACTTGATCCTATGGTAGAGAGAGATTCTCTAGAATTATCCATAATTTCCTACCTAACATGGAAGACTCTAGAATGCTTCTAGAATACTCTACATATGTACAAGTCTTGAGTGTTCTAGAATAATCTACACTATTCTATCAACCTCCAAGATCAAATGTGGCCCAACATAGCTAAAATAGCCCAAAGTGTGGGGAAAAAGCCCAAGTTCATGACATCAGTGTTTGGAATTTGTTTCCTCACACAGATCCAGACTCAGATATTCAAAGTAGAGTATGTCTCTATTTCTTCTTAGAAGACATGTATATTTGTAACCCTTATTTTGTATGTTGAGTTGTAATTTATTTTAAATTATAGTTTGTACATCAGACAATTATATGTCGTATTGGTGGTGTAGGTGTTACAGCTCGTCCACTGCTATTTCTTCAAATCCCAACTCCAAGCAGCAGCCGCAGCTTCTGCAACCTTTACGTGTTTCCTCATCTTCTAAGCCCAACGACGGATCCATGCCATCCGGGTCCAACTGGGGTACGATCAGGAAATCCTCTGGGACCATTCCGCTTCAGCCTACTGGGCTCATCACTTAGGGTCCCCTCAACTCCCGTTCCAGGAGGTCAGGTCAGCTCGGTCAGGCTGAGCAAGCTGATGCTATGTCGGCGAAAGCTGGGTACGGTCCAGGAGTGACTAGTCTTGCATAAGAGGTGGGAATTGGGTATAGAGTGTCGAAGACGGTGGGTTGGATGCTGGTGGTGGTGGGTTGGTGCGTTTCTAATGGTGGTTGTGAAGAAGGTGGTGGTTCTTGGGGCTGTGGGTGCGTTGGTGGTACCCATGGGATTGGTATTAGTTTGGAATTGTATTTGGGGAAAGGAAGGCTTGTTAGGGTTCGTGAAGTTGGTGGTACCCATGGGATTGGTATTAGTTCGGAATTGTATTTGGGGAAAGAAAGGAAAGGTAGCCAGATGATGAGCTTAGAGGTGTTGTTGACGGCCAATATGTTAAAGTTACAGGGGTAATCTTTTTATTTCCAACTTACTGTTTTAATATATATTTCTGTCTGTTTGTGGAGAGTGAAGAATGTTGTAAAGATATTCTAGACATTATTTTTTTTTCAATTTTCATTTTGATAAATGTCTCTTATGGTAACTCTTTTGTCATTAGTATCTGGTTTTTCGGTTTTTCGGTTTTTCGGTTTTTCGTTTGTTAGGTGAGTTAAGGGTTAGACTCTGGATTCATCTAGTTGGGTATTTAGAATTCTAAATATATGTGTCCATGTCTATTTCTGCAAACGGAGGTTCTTGTTCCATATTGGTCTAAAGCAAACTCGGAATGTATTAGCTGTTTACTAGACTCTTTTTGTTGGAAACAATTTGAATTTTTTATGGTAAAAAAGCTTGATCTATCAGTTGCTTTTCTTCTACCTGTGATCATCATTCCGAGTGACTACTCCTTCAAAGTAGATATTGCTGAACCAAGTACTGGCAATTGATGTAGGCATATTTATCGTGCACATATATATAGATGCTGTGATTTGTTTACTTGATTGAAGATTTAATTAGGAGTTACATGTTGTGCACATGATCATAATATGGTACAGCTTTGCATTAAGCTGGGAAATGATCGCGTTAACTTCTACCATTTTATTATTCTTTTTTATGTGATGTTAAGGATGAAACCAGAAAGTTACTGGTTTATTAAGTTTCCTAATCGACCTTTAAGTTTTAAGTTCTCATATAATGACCACACTATATGATAAATAAAACCCAAACTCTTATCGTAGGTTGTCACCTGTGGCAGCATTCCATTGGAGTCATCATACCAGAAGGTGCCCAGATGCATATATGTTTCAACAGAGTTGTATGAGTATAAAGGGTGGGGAGTAAAGTCTGCAAATTCTAAACATCGTTGCTTCTCCTGGGGATGTACTCATTCTGAGGTTTGTTTTAGCTCGGAAAAATCTTCAGTATATATAACAGTCCTGTTTAGCCAACTAAGAAATGTTGCTTCCGAGTAAGTTTTTTCTTAGGCAACAGTTTTCATTGTGAACAGAAGTTTGTTGCTGATTTCTACATATCAGACTTCCAATCTGGTTTAAGAGACTGGTTAAAGCAGGATATGGTTCTAAGGTTGCTCCATTCATCGAACCAGCTACTGTTGTTGATGTAACAAAGGAAAATAAAAACTTATCTCCGAGCTTTTCATGTTGGCTAGCTGAGCGCAATCTCTCCAGAGATGATTGTACAATGCCCCTAAAGGAACGGTATGCCGTTCTTTTGTTATTCTTCTAGTCTCATGTCGGATTATCATGAACTTCAGCTTACATATAGTTTGAAACTAAAAATGAGAGTAAATTTCAGTTCCATGCTGACAAGATGTCATTTGTTGTGACAGTTACATACAGGAAGGGAGCACCGTCGTCGTGATGGGGATCGTACGGCGCCATGATAATGTGCTCATGATTGTTTCACTATCAGAGCCTATCTCAACAGGGTGTCAGTGGAGCAGATGCTTCCTCCCAACATATGTGGAAGGTCTTATTTTAACATGTGATGACAACCAGAATGTTGATGTCGTCCCTCTGTAAATATGTATCGCTTCATATAACTCGATGTCACAATGTAAATACTGTAAGGTAGAAATTATCAGAGTGTACCATTTTCCTTTTCTTTCTAATCACGTGCATGCTAAGACGCATTAACTCTTAGGAGGAAGACTAACGATCATCAAGGTTGTTCCAATTGTCTTAAATATACAGAATTTAGAAAGCTAATTCTAGTCAATTGAAAGAGAAAGGCTATTAAATTTATTGATCTGCATCAATTTTGTTCGAGTAAAAAACTGTACTATTTCCGGTTACAACTATAAAAAACCAAAGGATATGAGAGATCATTAGAAACTGTAAAGGAAGGGCTTATTAGAGAGTAAAAAAAGTACCCTTACAGTCTAGAGGGGATACCCCCTGCCACTATAATAGTTTCCCCTGTAATATAACAAGCATCATCAGATGCCAAGAAAGCAGCTGCAGCAGCCATGTCTTCTGGGGTACCAAGCCTATGAAGTAAGGTCTTTTCCTCAGCAACCTTCCTCTGCAATATCCCAACTCAATTTCAGTTCTTTACGAGGCAATAGGGCATCTAGGTCTGTAAATGAACATGAACACGAACGAAAGTATACTCATGTTCGTTCATTTAACTTTAACGAACAAACGAATAAATACGAACAACTAAACAAACGAAATTCCTTGTTCGTGTTCGTTCATTAAGAAATTTAGCTTATTCATGTTCATTCGTTAAAATGATAAAACGAACATAAAAGAACATAACGAACGTAAACAAACATAAACGAATAAACATAAAATTAGTTGAGTTTATATTTGAGAAGAGTTTTTTTCTTTCCAAACAATTTTAAGATTTATATTTTCTTTAATTGATTTGAGTATTTTTTATTTGGATTTAAAATTAATTGGGTTTTAAAATATTAATGGGTTTAAGGTTAAAATTTATCAAGTCTTAATATTTCAAAACGGGTATGGAGATTCAGCTGAATATAAACAAACAAACATAAATGAATGAACATAAAAGAACAGGTTATCGAACGTTCATGAACGCAAATGAACGAATGAGCCATTTATTTGTGTTCCTTCATTTAATTGAAAAACATAAAATCTTGTTCATGTTCGTTTAATAAATAAACGAACTTTCCGCCGAACGGTTCACTCATCACTTCAGCAAAGTGTAACCAAAACTAAAAGAGACATCATTTACTTACCACAGCCTCATCTTTGGTAATGAATGCTGCAAAGTTTGTTGGAACAAAACCTGGAGCAACAGCATTTACGCGAGTATCCGGGGCCATCTCAGTTGAAAGTGCCTAAATCATGTTTATGTGATATTTAGAAGATGAAAAATACCTCATGGTTGTAGAATTCTTGAACAAAATAGAAGCAATCGTTAGCTATAACGGAATACAACTCCAATACCAACCTTGGTCAACCCAAGAAGGGCTGTCTTAGTTACCCCATACATAAGCATGGTAGGCTGCGGATTATAGCCAGCAATTGAGGAAATAATAACAATTGATGAACCCTTTTGCAGGTGAGGAGCTGCCTCCTGCAATAGATAAATAAAAAAGGGTAAGTCCTATTCCTTCATACAATTTTCAAAGTTTAACAAACACAGATTCTGGAAATGTAGCAAAGTAATCTGCTATGGCAAGATATGGAAAGCTCACTGCCAAATTTAAGACCGGAGGTATAGCCAGATGATGCAACTTCAATAATATAATCATTATGACTCATGCATCATATAAACTACCCTTAGACATTGTATCTTCTTTGGACATTATCCTTCGCCCAACCGATTTACCTGCAGAAGTAGTACAGTTGCTTTGACGTTTATTTCCCATAGCTTGTCAAGGACAGATTCTTGGGTTCGTAATATGGGATCCACTGATGGATTTGCAGCAGCATTTGATACAACCACATCTATTTTCCCATATTTCTGAAAGAAAACTAGCAATTTTAAAATCACATAATATGATAACATCAAACAATTACAAGCACACACTGCTCCAAAGATGTTCTTGCTAGATGAAACACTGACAGTTGAACCTGACTTGCTTTGCATTTCCAAAAGGTAAGGACTTGAGACATTTTTAAATTTGAGTTTGAATTTTCCAATTTCAGAAGTAAATCATATAGAAGGACATGATAACTTTATAATAAACAAGAACAGCAAATATGAGATAAGTATGCACTAACATCAACAGTCTTTTGAATAAGATCTTTCCTGTGTTGTGCATTTGAGACATGACAAACCACTCCAAACGCTTCAAGTCCTTTGTTTTTAAGCTTTTCAACTGCTTCATCTACATTTTTCTGCAAGCACAACCAAAGCATGAACATCCAGGATCCATCCTTACATTTAGAAGGAATGATAAAATAATTATATTCAAAATTTTAACATATAAGCAGAATTCAATATTCGATATGAAAATCTGAAACTTGCAATAGAAACCTACAACTTTAAAGTTCCATATATGGGCTAAAATGATCTTGGTAAATAGTTAACCTTGATAAATCAAAAGATGATTAATGAAAAAAAACATGAGTCGAAGTCGAGTATTCTTAGGAGGGGGAGAAGTCCATAATTTAAAACGTTCCAGCTTGGGAGAACAAGAAAGGGAAAAACCTGTTTGCGAGAAGAGATGACAACGGAGGCTCCTTCCAGACCAAGACGCTCGGCGATGGCGAAGCCGATGCCCTGAGTGGATGCAGTGACGATTGCAACTTTGCCTTCAAATCTCCGCCCAATCTTCTTCGCCATTTTCAAAGAGAGTAAGTTGTCTGCTTTCCGTTGATACTTATCCTAACGCTTTATTTATACTATTATTAATTAGAGTAAATTACAAATTTGACAACTGAACTTTTATATGATTCTTATCTTACTCATAATACTTTCAAAATTTTCAATTTACTCACTCAATTTTATAGATTAAATATTTTTAGTCATTTTTCCATTAAACTTCTCACGCCGTTATGATGTAGATTAGAAAAATAGTTTTTTAATCGCTAAAAGATATGGATGCTATGACAGATAGGAAAAATAAATAAAATTATTGATTAAACTCATTATAACCTTCCCGCCAATAAGAACCTTGTGGTAATTAACAGAGGAAAGTTGGCTCTGAGAGAACGATATCGGCTTCTTCATTTTTCAACGAGAGTGAGAGGTGATAATCAAAGGTGAAAAGCAAAGAAGAAAATGTCGGGATGGTACGAAGGAACGATTTACTACAAGAATCAGGCTCAATTCATGGAAGCCTCCGAGGAAGCGAAAGCAATATCGACATCCTCCACGACGAGTCGCCACTCTGTTATCCTCAAATTCAAGGAGTTCATTAGGAACTTTGAAAAGGAAAACATTTTTCCATACAAAGAAAGCCTCGTTAATAATCTTAAATTTCTACTAGTCCATCCCGAGGACCTTATCTCCTTCGATTCCGACCTCCCTTCCCTCCTTCGCTCCACTCCCTCTGATTACCTGCCTTTAGTAAAATATTCTGACGACATTTTCTTATACCAACTCCAGCGCATGGCTGGAGTGGTTACAATCTCCACTTTGAAGATGAATTTCAACTACAGCCCATCGTCACTTTAATGCTAGATTGTGGCGACAGCTACAGTTGTACGTTACAACTGGCGTTGCACTGTAGTTACGCTACATATTATATTTTTTTTTATTTTTCTGATTTTTGGTTTTTGTTTTTTTTAATTTCTTTTGTTATTTTCTTTTTCTTTGTTACATTATTTTCTTTTATTCTATCTTTTATGTTTTTTATTGTAATTTCTACATAATAAAATAAAAATTAAACATAATATAATAAATTCAAGTAGATTAAATTTCAAGATAGACAAAAATATATTGAAATTAGATAAATAAACATACTAATTTTTTATAAAAAACATTTTAACCAACAACCTAAACACAACAATTTAACTAATAACTAGACAAACCCCCTCCACTCCCTCCAAGATCATCAATGTTATTTATGAATGTTTTATTTATACTTTTTATCTTGATATTTATTAGAAATGTATATGTTTTATTTTATATTTGCAAAATCAATATTATAATAGTTAAATATTGTGAATAAAGTAGAGTTGGTAGTAATGTAGAGATAGTGTTGGAGATGAATTATTGTTTAAACTTTAGAGTAGATATAAAGATGTTGTAGAGTATAGATGAGGGCTGGAGATGGCCTTAGCAAATTTATAGAAATATATTCTCTTAGTTTAAGTTTGCTTGTTCTTAATGATTGGTGCAGTTTGAGAAGGTAGCTGAGGAGGTTTTAGTAAGTTTGAAGATGAAAGTAGCGTGAGGTTCAGGGAAAATGGTGGAGCCAGAGACCGGTGAGGTTCAAATTTTGCTTACATCAAAGGAGGATCCCGTTTCTATGCGCTCACTTGGGGTAATTGGCTGATATTTGTTTGATCAACATACTTGTTACTAAAGTTTAAATAGAACCAGACAATAAATAAATATTTCTATTTTTAATTTAATTTTTATTATGTGGAAATCTGATGTTGCATGTTGAATATTAAAATATTCCACATGAATGAGTTGTTAGTGATATAACGGTAGAGTGATAAAAAAATTTAATATATAAAGTTGTGTGAACAAATTGAGAATTTTAAAAATATGACGAGTAAAATAAGAATTGTATGAAAGTTAAGTTATCAGATTTATAATTTACCCTATTAATTAGATGCAAATTCCGTGCACGTAATCAAAGATATCTCTTCAAAGTTCAAACCGTATATCATCTAAAATTTATTTATTAGTTCACACTATGTTTAAGCTATTATTAAATTAAAATAAAATAGAAAAGTTATCCCATAGCTAAGCTAGTTATGAATTTTTTTTCCTGAAATAAAAATAGGATAAATTATGCCAGACATAACTGAAGTTCGAGTCGCATACTTATCCTATCATTAAATTTTCAATTATAGAATTGAATTTTAGAATTATGAATTTAAAACTAACGTGATGATATGGACACCATATATTTTCAATGTATTAACGCAGGTATTATAATAATATTATTTTAATTAAATAAAAATTAATTGATATAAAAATAACATCTTATCAATTTTACAACATCAAATCTCAACCAGTAAAGATCCACCATTTTCATTCATGCACTGCATCATACAACTATCATTGTTCACTGATATTATAATTTAACTAACGACGAGATCTTAAATGTAATATCATTGACTGAACGCCACATCTTTTAATCATCAAACTTAAAACGTATATTAAATCCCAATCAAATTAAAACTCAACAATTAAGTTATAAATAAAAACATAAAAAATAAAGAAATGAGGAGAACGAGACTACTAATTTGATGTAATTAGGGTTTATAAGATTTGAAACTGTTGATTTGTAATCTCAAATATGAAATAAATCATCTTGACGAGGTGAACAAAATATTTTGATTTTGAGTTGATTTAACTATCTCAAGTAAGAAATTGTAAGTGAAGAGGATTGTAAATTGAGATTTATTTTTATGTTTTGGGAAGGTTTAAGGGAAAACTAAATCATAAAAAAAAGTAAAAAACATTAGTCAAGTAATACTTTGAGAAAAATATTTTCTTAAATAGGGTGTTTGAAAATTTATTTTCATATTTAGTGTTACTGTGCCCCATAGAAGATATCGAGAAGGCAAGGATAGACATAGAATTTTATGTTGGAGGCGATCTTATAAAATTGCAAGGGAGCGAAAATAGATTTTCATTAGAAAACACAAAAGAGTCTAAATTATATAAGAATTTGAAATTTTTTTAAGAGGAATGACCAACTCTGCCTCTGTAGGGATGGCCATGGATTGGGTTTCCAATCAACCTGACCCTACTCAAAAAATTATACACCATCCATTTGACCTACCCCTTTGAGATAAAATTTGAATCGGTCTGACCCTTTCGAAAATAATATAATTGTAAACAAATAGGGATTTAATTAAAATATATATATATATATGTCTTATTGCAATTATCCCTAAATATACAAAATAAAATTATACTTTTTCTTGGATCGGATATTTTTTCACCCTAAATCCGAATCTCACTCAAAACCGAATTATTTTAAAAAAAAATATCCGACTTAATAAAGTTAAATTGGGTTTTATCGAAACCTATCAGATTTGGATCTCGTGCCCATTCCTACGTCTAGATCCATTCAAAAGAGTGAAAGACTCGATTATTTCTGGATTATGTCCAAAAAATTTGCCGACTTCTCAAAGCTCCATGCATGCTGATACATTGTGTCTTCACAACATTTATCTTAGATTAGAAAATTATTTTTATAACACTTTATACCTTTTTCAGAAAATATTATTTGATCAATTTTATTCATAGAAAAGAGATAGGAAGAAGTGGAAAAATATGTTGGTGACCCTGGTTTTAAGTGATGATGTGGGATAACGATATACAACTTGATGAAAATAGGGAATGGATTTATGGTCGTGTATTTTTATGATTTCCTTCTTTTATAATGAATTTGCAGATTAATTAAATATTTTCATTCGAAAAAAAAATCCCCTGGAACAAACCAAACAAATGCTTGAAAAGTCGCTCTGAATGACCCATTGTCTTCAGTAATGGATCCAAAAGCCTTGCAAGAAAGCTAATTTCAACTATAAAAGTCGAATAGAGCGCAAACGGGAATATGCGCCCACCTAAAACCGCCTTCCACTGCCGAACTTGGAATATCCAAAGCCGAAGTAGGACAAAATTATGGGAATGTTTCAGGAAAGGCGGGTTAATATACGGCTAATATATAGTATTACCGGATACATTAAAATGTATTTAATAAATTCGGTTTAGCGGTACCTATTATGTTGACAACTAATAATGTTTTAGGTAGAAAATATGAAAAACTATTAAAAAATTTGGTAACCGGTAAACTTTGGTTATCGGTAAGTATCTATCATTTTTATAAAAGTGTCCATACTTTTAACATATCAAGTAAATTTTACCGGTTTTGTCATAATGAATCTGGTTTTGTCATATTTTTACCTGTTATATTGTAAATTATCTATCCTTTTTATAAAAGTGTCCATACTTATTTCACTGTGAAAATATATTTATTATTATCTTTAGTTAATATTGTTAAATTTAAAATCTAAATAATATTTTATAAAATATCAAAACAATCAAATAATTTTTTGTGTAAATGAAATTATTAAATTAATATTGTAGGTGGAAAACATGAAACACTATTAAAAAAAATTGAAACATAAATTACATAACTTTCAAAAAGTATATATCATTTTTATAAAGTGTCCATACTTATTTCACTGTTGAAAACATATTTATTATTATATTTGGTTAATATTGTTAAATTTAAATTCTAAATAATATTTTATAAAATATCAAAACAATCAAATAAAATTTTGTGTAAATTAAATTATTAAATTAATATTGTAGGTGGAAAACATGAAACACTATTAAATAAATTGAAACATAAATTACATAACTTTAAAAGCAGTTATAAATCCTAAAAGTGTCGATACTTTTAAAAAATATATCGATCCAAAACGATATACCAGGTAAAAATATGATAAAACCGGTAACAAAATGATAAAACCGGTAAATTTAAAAGTGTCGATACGTTATATAAGGATCGACACTTTGTGAATTTAAAAGAGAAGCAGTTATAGCGCCTATAATGTGTCGATACTTTAAAAAAATATATCGATCCACAACGATATAACAGGTAAAAATATGATAAAACCGGTATCAAAATGATAAAACCGGTAAATGATACCGGATATATTGAAAGTGTCGATACTTTCGTAAGTA